ACAGGCTCAGGATGTATACAAAGTAAGCACCCTGGCTTCCTGCTGAGTTACTTAGCCAAACCTCTAGACTCCCCAAGTTGACACAATGTATCAACCATAACAGTGTTGCAATAAATATAATTACATTACAAGCTGTCTCTTTTTCCTGTGAAATATATATTAATATAATACTTTTTGGAAAAAGATACAGTCTAAAATTACTTTATTGTCATATGAGTGTAAAAATAGCACACATAATTTATTTTACTTATTTGCAGTGCTGGAAATTATACCCATATCCTTATAATGCTAGGCAAGTGCCTTACCACTGAGCTGCATCCCCAGCCCTTCTTATTTGAGACAGAGCCTCACCAAGTCTCCCAGGCTGGCCTCAAATACGAAATCCTACCACCTCACTCTCCCACATAACTGATTTACAGGCATGCACCACTAAGCCTGGCTGGATAATTTATTTTATTAATGACTATATGCTGATTTTTGCAGATGTGAAGGCCTTGAAAAAAGAAAAGATGTAGACAGTGATTTTCAAAAAATTTTTACAAATACCCATTAAATTTTTCTACCTTTGCCTTCCATCAAAAGAAAGGCTGAGATACTGTATTACTGAGCCAACGATGGGTGTAACGGGAAGACACACGCTATTTCTGGCTTACCTTGCTGCTCTGTGGACCTTTGCTGGATTCACAGTGGGATGAAGAGCATATGGACTCTTGACTTGATCTCCTACAGAAGGAGGGAGGAATCCCAAGGATGAAAAGTTAAGACAGTCGCTCATATTCAAAGAGCGTTTCTCTCTGTTTTAATTTTAGTTGATGGCTTCTTTCATCGTCTGTGGATACTGGGCCACTTGGGAAACTAATCGCACGTGATACTTTGTGTAACAAATGTTCATTGGTGTGGTATTGGTGGAGACTGTTGGGGAGCCTTAGCAATTTAGGCGTGCTGCTTTTTGGGTCTGGGAAATTCAAGTCTGCCCTGCCGAACTGCTAAAGCTAGACTTAGTCCCAGAGGCCCTGACATTGAAATAGCTGCAGCAGGGTAGGTTGGAGGGCCTGAGAAGCCTGGCTAACTTCTTGAAGAAGCCTGGCTGACGTCCTACTGCACAGTAGATCATTCTGGCCTGATTCTGTTTCTGCTGTGCTTTGCTGGAACGGGCTGAGAAGTGGCTTAGGGACCTGGTGCAGATTTACATTGAATAAATCCTCAAAAAGTATCTCCAAATAGTTTTTGTTGAAATTTCAAGCCAATGGGTAGATAATGGAATGTGTTATATTTTGGCTCGCCAATGGGTGACTCCCAGCTAGAACAGAAACCTTTGATTTCTCCCCAGACATGCGTTTAACATTGTTGATTGTCTGAAAACCAGAATTCTCAAGCAAACATAAATAGGGAAAATGCTCTTTCTTGAATATTAAAAGGAATTCTCCTGCTCTTTCAGAAATGGATGGCAATTGCTTAGTTATGTTAGATGATATGTGAAACCTGCAAGATGATCTTCTACCCTTGCATGACAAGTCCTACTCTTTGGTTCACACCAGTAATTACAGCATGAGATTTTGGATAAAAGTGTGACCAACTGAGCATTTTCATTTCCTATTTCTGCCACTATGGCACAGGATGCTGTGAGGCTGACAGGATCAGGAACCACACAGCACATCAGATCCCTGAGGACCACCCCAGCTCCATAAAGGTGATGAAAGGGAAGGAAGTTGAAGCCAAGAAGTCAGCTTAACTTATGTCTTCTCTCTAGTTGTCTATTCCTTAATCCTGGGATAAAGAGAACTCTTTTCACGTCTCCTACATAAATCCCAGCAAGATTACACGATCAGTAAGTACCACCTTACCTTGCACATTCAGTGGTACGAAAGAGGAACAGTATGTCATTAATTCTAAAGCGCTTGGGATCCAGGTCTAGGTCCACAGTGGAACAACCTTCAGGTTGGTGCCTGAAAAGAAGTATGCCTTTGTATGACAAACTTCATAAAGTATTCATTGTATATCCCACACAGACCCAAACAATTCCTAAAATGTTGGTTCTTTGAACACAAAGTGAAACTCAGAGGTGGAGTTTGACTGTCTTTTAAAATAAGCCTTTTTGCAACTCATGATTATTTAATGGCTTAAAAGTCTTAATTAAATGAACCAGATAAGTCTTCCTATCTATAGGTTAGAGTTTGGACTTGTATAATCCTTTTTTTGTTTTGTTTTGTTTTGTTTTTCTTCTGGTACCAGGAATCGAACACGGGACCTTGCACTTGCCAGGCAGGCGCTGTGCCGCTGAGCTAAATCCCCAGCCCCTGGACTTGTATAATCTTTTGGTGGAATCTCCTGGAAGCCTTATACAGTTTAAAATTTAAGTAATAAAACTCTGCTTTCTGAATATATGGAGTGACAAATTTGAATAAAACATGGCTCTAGCCCTTAAGAGCTTATAACTGAATACAACAGGTACTTTCATGATGACATTGCTCTTGCTGCTCAACCCCCCTGTTGACTCAGATTCCAAGATTGATATACCTTCCTAGGCACTAGCTTTGGATCAGAGCAACAGTCCCTAGCTACCTATACCAGCTCTTCATGCTTGGTTCCTGGAATAGCACTTGTAGCAAATTGATCTTTTAGCAGACTGCCTCTTTTCCTTTCATGGGAATGCTCTGAGAATATGAAGTGATGAGTGTTTGCTACAGTTGAGATCTGGAAATGTCTCCTAAAGGCCCATGTGTTGGTGGCTTACACTGAGGAGATAGCTCAGAGGCACAGCACCTGTCCGGCAAGTGCAAGGTCCTGAGTTCAATTCCTGATACAAAAAACAAAACAAAACAAAAAACAAACCATGTGTTAGTGGCTTGGTCCTTGTTTTGTGAGACAGTGGAAACTTTGAGGTGGGGCCTAGTGGGAGGTCTTTAGGTCATTGCAGGTATGGCCTTAAAGGAGATGTGGGGTGCCACCACTTCCTTCCTTTCTTTTTTTTTTTTCTTTCTGTCACACTGTGAGCAGCCTTACCATGATGCATTTCTTTGCTTCAGGCCCAAAGGAAGAAGACCAATTGATTGATTCAGTTGATTCCAGAGCTGGAACCTATGAAACTGCAGCAAAATAAACCTTTTCTCTTATTAAGTTGATTACCTCAGATATTTGTTGCAGTTATGGAAATCTGACTAACACAGTGATGAAGGAACAATTTGGGGAGGGAACCACGCTGAAAAGACAAGTTGATGGACTTTGTGATTTGTCAGACTTTTTAGACATTTCTTCTCTGTAGATGATCACTTATTTTTTTTAAAACTGGTGCCTATTTTTATTTATTTTTTTGTTTTAAAGAGAGTAATAAATGAGAAACAAACATGCAAAAAAGTAGAACAGTAGCAGCATACCAATATCATGAACATAAACAAATCAAAGCAAGAACATTCAAAGTGATACAGGGTTTCAAGACAAAATAATACAAATCAACAGTGTTTGTTACATAACATATCGCTATGCTCAACTACATTGCTCAGATTACCAGATGTAAGAATGAAAGATTGCTCAAAGCATTAAAGAGAATAAGAAAATAATTATTCGATAAAACATTAGCGATAATACAGAGTTTCACTAGACAAGATGGTAGGAGTTCACCATTGTAATTCCAGTGCCTATTGTTACCTTCAAATCAGTTGCTCAGACCACCAGACACAAGCATGCAAAGTCGATCAGAACATAAAAAATTGTAAACATTAACTGTTCATTTCAATACACCATCAGACATGAGTGGTGCCTATTTTTGAAACTGTGCCTAATTGGTCTTAAGCATGGTTCGAGGTAGATGAATAAATGCCTTCCACTGTGAATAGGGAAACTATTTGCAATTTTAGAAACTTAAGGGCTGAGCCTAAATTACCTTACATGGTTCAGTATTAAATAATATATTTTGCAAAATGCTCCAGTGATTCTAAACCAATATTTGTTATACAGTCATTTCTGTACCCCACAATAGTTGCTTTCCTCTGATTGAATACTGGATTTGCATGAATCCCTTGGCAAAATGCCTGGCACTTCAATGAGGAGGATCTCCTTCAAACAGTATTCTCAGGAGAGCTGTCCCTCTTTAGGCTGTGGCATTAGCACTGGTCATTTGATTCTATTTGCTTTCATTTCTTAGTAGTGAGTCATACTTAAGCTGACACTTTGAGGGTGAAAACCATATTAATAAGGTGAGGAGAGGTGCAGTACATATAGATATAGGTATCAAATGACAAGTGCACAGTTGGGAAAAAGGGCAGAAGGGTGCGGATCTAAGAGAAGGAATAGAAGGATGGCAAGAATTGTAGGGACAGGGTCTAGGAGAACACAGGTTGAAGTGCAGGGACAAGGGTGTGCAGAAATAGCTATTTCAAAGAAAACTTCACACGAGAATAAATCGAGCATCCAAACATGGTGTCTAAAAGTGATGACTGGTGATTCAAAGTTGGGTAGGAAAAGCACATGGAGTCCAGGTAAAATAATAGTAAGTGAGGTATTGAAAATAGAGAGACAGAGGTTGTTTATGGGTTTGTATCTTCTTTGCCCTCGTCCTTCCCAAATTTATCTTCTCTACTTTATACTCCTTTTTAGCCCCCAAATGCTTATATATTTTTAGTTTTCTTTTTATTTATTGTTAAGATCTTGGTCATCTTATTCCTTTAAAATTTTACAAACCCTCTTGACCTAGAGTTCATAGCCTGTACACATCAGGAGATAAGCTTGTTATTCACAGTACATCTGTTTGAATAATACAATGTTACCCCAGTTCCTTTACAACCAATAACAAGAAAATTTAGAAATGGATGGCAGGGGAGGGTAAAGATTTTAGTTATGATACAGAGTATCTCAATCTGAGCGATCGAGTTGCAAAATTGCACCCGCTACTTTGGCCCTTGTTAGCATCATCTTGTAACAAATTGAATATGGTAGTGAATGAAAGGGAATGCCACACCAAAGGCTGTCTTGCTTACTTTTCTCTTGTTGCTAAGACAAAATACCCAATGCCCAAAATGAAGGAAGGAAAGGTTTATTTAGCTTATAGTTTGTGGAGGTTTCAGTCCATACTTGGCTGGCTCCAAGGCAGAAGATA